GTCTGTTCTATGGGTCCGTGTGTGGGCTTGTCTATGTGAGTGCAGGTGCCCATGGAGGCCAGAGATGGCATTGGGGCTGGAGTTAGTTACAGGTAGTCACAGGCCACCCAGCATATATGATAGGAGTTGAACTTAGATCCTTCGCAAGAGCAGTGTGCTGGCTAGTTTCATGTCAACTTGACACAAGATAGAGTCATTTGGGAAGAGGGAATCGTAACTGAGAAAATTCCTTCCTGTGATTTGCCTGTAAGCAAATGTGAAGTGTATTTTCTTAATTAATGATTGATATGCAAAGGCTCAGGTAATTGTGATCGGTGCCCTCCCTGGGGAGGCGGTCCTGGGGTTCATAAGAAAGCAGACTGAGCAAGTCAGTAGGCAGCGTCCTCTCATGGCTTCCGCTTCAGCTCCTGCCTCCAGGTTCCTGCTCTGACTGCCTTCCATGATGGACTGTGATACAGAAGTGTGAGTGAAATAAACCCTTTCCTCCCCAAGTTGCCTATGGCTATGGTGCTTTATCACAGCAATAGAAAATATAACGAAGACAGGTAGTATGTTCTATTAATTACTGAGCTGTCCATCCAACTCCTTATCATTAGTTTTTCATAAACTTTATTGTGGTGATTTGAATGAGAATGACCCCCATAGGTTCATATATGTGAGTGCTTGGTCCCTAGTTGGTGGAACTGTTTGGGAAGGATTAGGAATATGGCCTTGTTGGAGGAGGTGTGTCACTGGGTAGGGTCATTACCACTTACTGCTCTATCTATCTATCTATCTATCTATCTATCTATCTATCTATCCATCCATCCATCTATCTTCTACCTATTATCTCTCTCCATCTATCCTATGAGCTATCATCATCTATCTATTGCTATCTCCCCCTCCACACCTCTTTGCCTCATGGTTATTCTCAAGATGTGATCTCTCAGCTACTGTCTCAGTGCCACGCCTGCCGGCCTGATGTCATGTTCCCTGTCATGGTGATCATCGATTCACCCTCTATCCTGTAAGCCCAAAATAAACTCTTTTTTTCTATAAGTTACCTTGGTCATAGTGTCTTGTCAAACAATAGACATTTGTTTTGTGGAAGAGTTTATGTTTACACAGAAATTGTAATGAAATCATTCATTTCCCCCCTACACCCATAGGGCATCCCAGCCTATCTGCTTAGTTTCTGCTATTGAACATCAGTATTAATATAATTTGTTATAACTGACAAATACTAGAGTATTATTGTTACCAGTTGGATACATCAGGGTTCACCTTATATGGTGTGCATCCTATGTTTATAGACGAATGCCTTGTGTCCTATATTACAATGCCACATAGAACAGTTTTGCTGGCTTAAAACACCCTGCATTTCTCTGTTCACCCTTCAATCCCCCCGGGCAATGCCTGTTCCCATCATTATCCTTTCTCAGGATTACAAAGCCTATATTTTTACTTAAGCATCCACTAGCTGTCTGGTTTCAGGAAAATCGAATTCTTATTAGACTATACAGTTTGTTACATGGCAGATGCAGCTAAGAGTGCCCTTTGGGACTTGAAATCCTTGTGACCAAGTTCCTACTGAGGGTGGTGTCCCTCAGGACAGCTGCACCCTGAGAAGGATCCCAGGAAGTCGTGGGTGAGCTAAGGACTCTCTTGGAGCCAGCATCCTTCCTTTGATGATTTCTTGGCATCCTTGTGCGTGGTCACTTACAATGTTCTTGAAGAAGTGAACTACTGGGTTTTCATCTTGGGTCCGGCCGTGCTGCGACTTCTGGGGCAGGGAGCCATAGTGGGTAGTTCTTGATGTGTGTGAGTCCTGAAAGACAGAAGCATGCAGCTTAGGATGAAGACAGCTGGGCCAGGTCTGTCTTCCTGAGGAAGGTGGGTCTCTACTCTGTGCATCCTGGTGATTGGGAAGTTGCTGGTGTGTCACCAGACACCTGAGTTAGGCAAGGGGCTTAGTTGAGCATGCTTGGTGGCGCAACCGTTACTCACTATTTCTGAAGCCGTCACTGGCAGAGGTAGTCTGTTTGTTAGCTTTGGAGTGGTGGCATCACGAGCTAGCCTCTGCCTCGAGTCACCAGGGTCCTGAGTCTGCCAATGTGTGACTATCACTTTCCCATCTTGAGTAAGATGGAAGTAAGAGTGATACCTGGTGTGAGTGTCCATCTGTTCTCAGTGTCCACAGAACCGGAAGGTTCTAGGTCAGTGGATACAGCCGATAAGACACTCTAGCAAGCACGGAGGAAGTGATTTATCCCAAGAGAGCACAAGCTCGGAGAGCTGAGCTGGCTCCGCTTTCACCTGATGCTGTCATCCTGGATGCCACTCCACACCTGTGCTCAACTCAGTGAACACGCACCATGACACAGGCAGAGTCTACATCCAACCAGGCACCCTTGGAAAGAAGCCTGCAAAGAGACTTCACAACACCACAGTTCTCAGAAAACAACAGGAGTTCAGGAGGAAACTGCACATGTTTCCTCGTCTCTCCCTCTGCTGCTCCCAGCACATAGGCAGTCACCAGTGTGCCTGGAGGAGCCTCATCCGGCTGCAAGAATGAAGACAGGAGTGATGTGTGTAGCCTGTCTGCAGAGGTCACAGCTACAGCATCTGAGATGGCAGTCCGGTCCCTAGAAGTATCCTACCTGTCTGTATGTGGGTTGGGAGAGCCCTCTTGAGGAGTTTGCCACTGGAAAGCCAAGTGCTGCTTCTCTGGAGCCTATGAGGGTGTAAGTGATGGATGCAACTACAGTTGCATCAGAAGCCATTTGCCAAACACTCGGCTTTTCTCTGGGTCTGCTAAGTCGTCTTTGAGATGAACTAAACAGCTAACAGTGTTGTTCACCCTGAGGGCATGGACAAATGTCTGCTCCACACCCTTCATTACAGATAACATCAGACAGAGCACTTGTTAGTAGTTATGTGATCCTAGCTGGTCACCTTGATCCTGTTCACCCACTCCTGACATAGACAGACCTTTGACACAGTGTAGGGGTGAGCCCCACAAAGCTGTCCACACAGTTCTTGCCCTCCCTCCCTCTCCTCTCCCTCTATTGCACAGAGACCAAAGCTCACTGCTTCCCAATGACCACATGTTGAATCTGCTCACTCACTCTTCAAGGCCCAACTCTGTGCTCCCAGCCCGCCTCCAGCTGGAGCTGTTGCAGTGGCCTCTCTGTCTTCCCCTCCCTTCCCATTCTGCCCACCCTGACAGTCAGCTCACGCCCTGCAACACTCTGAGGTCCATTCTTCTTCATGTCGCTTGTGTCCAGTGGCCTGCTGTGGACAGAGAATGCCGTTTGCTCCAACTTAGCATCTGTGAGGAGCCTGAGCTTCCCTGACTACCACACATGTCTTCTGCCATGCCCTCTGGCCCTTGGCGATGTCAGAGCAGTAGATCACTAGTTTGGAGAGTAGAGTACCAGGTGACATTACTTCTAGGCATGCCTTGTCAGACTGCAACAGTTAAGCCCCGCCCCTAACCCAGCCTTTATCCAGGTTTTTTCTTTATGCTGGTTTTCAAGCCATAGAAAAGATTCTGTCTTAAACCGGAAAACAATACTTAAACATGTGTTCAGTTTCTGAAGGGGCCGCTGCTCACTCATCTCACAGACCTCATGCTGGGGAAGCATGGCTGCACTGTGAGATTTGGAAAAAACGTGGTGGAAATAAGATACTTCTGCTCCAGATGTTAAAGAAAGGCTACAGCTTTGTTACTTGTAACTATAGTGAATACATTGTTCACTAGTGTGGTAGCTTGAATGTAATTGGTCCCCATAAGCTCATAGGGAGTGGCACCATTAGGAGGCATGGCTCTGCTGGAGCACTCATGGCCTTGCTGGAGGAAGTGTGTCACTGTGGAGGTGGGCTTTGAGGTCTCATACATGCTCAAGTCACGCCCAGTGTCTCAGTTCACTTCCTTTCTCCTGGGGATCAGAATGTAACTTCTCCACTCTCGGCTCCCTCTCCAGCACCATGTCTGCCTGCCTGCTGCCATGTCTTGCCATGATGACAATGGACTGAACCTCTGAAACTGTAAGCCACCCCCAATTCAGTGTTTTCTTTATAGGAGCTGTTGTGGTCATGGTATATCTTCACAGCAATAGAAACCCTAAGACAGCTAGCATTTGGAGCGGGGCCATGCTAATCTCAACACTCCAATTTTAGTGCTGCCAAAGCAAATACATAGGCATCAAACTTTTGAGAGAAAAGTAGTTTAAATATTTTAAGGAGCTCAAGAGTTTTGTAGGTGGTGTTAGAACTCTCGGAGCTATGGAATCTGGGGTCAGCACTGTCCATGATAAGTCAGGGAGTGGACTATGCAAGAAGCATCTGCTATGGGTGACTACTGTGTGGCCTGCACAGATCTCTTTTAATATAGGACCTAAGCATGAAGCAGTCTACATGCTAAGAGTCATGCACAGTGCACATGGCTGGAATATACACTGAGGAGGGACATTGATTAGGACACTGACTTGGACTTTTGGGTCTACACTGTTACACAGATAATTATATCTGCTTTGCTATATTATATCTGCAGATTTTTTGAATCAAAAGGTATTTAGGCACTCATTTCTATATAATAACAACAAACAGCTAAACACAAACACAAAATTTAAATGCCACTAGCCCCAGGGGCAGAAAAGAACCTGGCAAAGCACTAATAGCATCTGTCCTGAGTTGTATCATAGCTGTAGAACACTTGCGTAGCCTGCGTGAGGCCCTGGCATCCGCCTCCGGTACCCCAGAACAAACACAATAGTGCCATATAGGGAATGTTTAGTCTAGAAACTAGAAAAGAGACTAAAGAAGAGTTAAGTGAAGAGACTTCTATATTCATGGATTGGAAGATCCAAACAGTAGAGATGTCAAAGCTATCTACTCATTTAATGCAATTGCCAATAGGATTTTGATTAGGTACTGACAAACTAATCTTGACCTAAATGGGAATGCAAAATACTCAAAATAGCTAAACTACTGTAACAATATAGAAGTTACCCAAATCACATGGTTTTATTTTCACATTTTATTACACAGCTATAGTAATCAAGCAGGGTTTCCTAGACATGACACCAAAGGCTGGTTCATCAAGAAAATAGTTAAATCAGACCCCATCAGAGCTCAACAATGTTTACATAAAACACTCTTAGGGGCATGAACAGACAAATGACAGACTGGGAGAAAAAATTACTCACAAATAATATATGAGAAAAAAAGAATTAAACACAAACTAAGTTTTTTTTTCAGAAACACAAAACTCAGAAGTAAGAAAATAACGTGGTTAAAAACTGGACCAAACACTTCAACAAACATTTTACCAAAAATGTGTGGAAAACAAATTTGCACAAGAGTAACAGCTGCTCAATACCAACAGCCACCGAGAACATGCAAACAGGAGCCATGAGATGCTACTACCCCACCCATTCAGATAGCTAAGAATAAATGCCAATACCAAGTGTTGGCTAGCACAGGGAGCAATGGGAGCTCCATGTACTACCCTGGGAATACAAGACAGCACAGTCACTGGGAAAAACAACTCAGAAGTTGCTTACAGCACCCACTGCGTGCTGACTGGATGGCCCCCCAATCCCATTCTATGCTTTGAAGGATGAGAGAGAAGCGCTGTATTTTTGAAGACGATTTTTAAATGATTGTATTGGTCACTAACCATTTGAAGGAAAATAATTTAGATCTTAAGTGAAGAACTTATATTCACTCAAAGCCTGAACATGAAGGTTTGTAGACCTTTTTAATCCCTGCAAATGATAAGCAACTCAAATCTTCATCAAAAGAATCAACACCATCTCTAAGTCATGATGAATGGCAGAAGCCATTCAGAAAGATTTTACATGTATCATCTTTTTTAAAACACTTTTTAGATTTATTTATTTAGTATATAGTATCTGTCTGTATGCCCACAGGCCAGAAGAAGATGCCAGATCTTATTACAGATGGTTGTGAGTCACTATGTTGTTGCTGGGAATTGAACTCAGGTCCTCTGGAAGAACAGCCAATGCGCTTAACCTCTGAGCCATCTCTCCAGCCCCATGTATCATCTTTTTATATGACATTCTTGAGAAGCTTACCTAAGGTGAGGGAGACTAGAACAGGCATGGCTGGAGTTAGGAGATGAGAGAAAGGGGAGTTTTGAGAGCACAAGGAAGGAAGGGTCTTAGGTTGATCTATATTTATTGTAGTAGCTACACAAGCTTATACGTCTGTTAAAACATATAGAACTTTATACAAGGCAAGCCCATTTTGCTGTGTTAGTTTAGAAAACACAATAAGGCCATTAACATGGGTTATGACTTCACAGCATGCAGGGGACAATCACACTGTTCTGTGAGTTTTCCCACCAGAACCTTCGTGGGAAGGCAGCCTGGGCCTTGGCTTCCAGCATGGAGTGCCCCTAAGACATCATTCTTGCTTAGCTGGGATGGCCTCCCTTCCACACACGCCACTGCCTCCTGACCCAGGTAGCACCTTTCAGCGGCAACATGGTGCCATGATGAATTGCCCTTCCTAGTCTCCCAGAGCACCTTGTGCCTTCATCTAGTTTTTACTATTTCATAGGACAAAAAGACACTCCCGTGTGGGCCCAGAGTGCTAACGGTTGGCCTCTCATGGTGGCACTCCACAGCTGGAGAGAGGATGAAGGAAGGCAATAGCAAAATCCTCCTCCTACCACAGTGTGCAGGAAGAGTAGTTACGGAACCCGACAGGAGGACACTCACCAGGACCTGACGCAGAACCCTAGAAGCCCTTGGCAGGCTGCTGGGTGAACCAAGCCTTGGCTTCCTCAAGTGCAGCATGGGTCTGACGTGCAGTTGGGAATAGACACAAAGGGTGGCAATTCTTCGATGACAGTCAAACTCTAGACCTAGCTTTGTGGTGACTATAGCAAAAGCTAAGAGGCCACCCCAGTTGCCAAAGTAACAACATCCTGGGCTAGGGCAAGAGGCTACATGGCCAGCCTAAGTCTGTATCTGAGTTCTTAAAATACACAGGGCACAGGGTCACATTCTAATCTTTTCTGAGGATACAGTCCAGTAGCAACTGTGCATCCGTCACCATCTAGTCCCAACCCTTTGTTTTTATCAGAATCTGTCCTAGTTAAGCCCTGACCCCTCACCCCTTTCTCTCTCTGGCCTCCAGGACCACTACTGTACTTTTGGACTCCACAAAAATGTGAATATTTTCTCCAGACCTATAGCTTGTCTGTTCACACTCCTAACAGTGTTTCGTGCAGTGCTGAGCTCTGATGGGGTCCGATTAAACGATTTTCTTCATAAACCAGCTTTTAATGTCAGGTTGAGGAAACCCTTGTCTCCCCCAGTCAAGAAGATTGTCTCCAATATTTTTGTCTAAAATTTTAGAACTTTACAGTGTCGGTGTCAGTAGAGATTTATGACCAGTTTCCATGACTTCTGCATAGGGTGAGGGTTGAGTTGAGGAACATTGTTTTGTTGATGGTGTTTGGCTGGTGGGTGTCCAATCATTCCAAGACCACTTGTTGAAAGCATCATCATTTTTCTGTTGAGTTGCCCCTGTCTCTTTGTCAAAATGAGATTCATCATAGGTAAAACCGCTGTTCCATGTAGGAATATTTCAGATTTTCTGAGCGCCTGTCCAAGGGCACAGTCATGGCCAGAGTTACCTACAGTCTGGTGAACTGGCACCTTTGGGAGAAAGAACGTTGATCTCTTAGTTCATTGTGAGCTATTGTAGGTTACTAACAGGTATTGTAACAAGGTCAGCTCACCACCAGCAAGAAGGACCAAAGCCAGTGCTGGCTGCCAGTGACTCCTGCAATCTGAGTAGGTTGGGAGTCTTGACACCTGGCCCACCTGAACCCCATGGTTGTGGTTTTTTTTTTTTTTGTCTTTTTGCCTTTTTTCTTGGTATTACATTAGGAACCTCATTTTGTGTCTGTTGAGCTTTGCATTATATTAACAAGCAAAGATGACAACAAACATTTTGAGGTGACATAAAGCAAAATGATGACGAATCATTCTGGAACTGTGGAAGAGATTCCCCAGCCAACCAGGTCACTGGTCTTTGAACTAGCCTGTTGGTACTGTTTTTACAAAGTTACAATTTTCCTCTGCTGGAAACAGTGCCGGTCACCAGCAGGGAGCGCTCACAGACGCTCTCTGCAGAAGTCGGGAAAGGGTTTTTCAAGTTTTACCAGTTTCTTGTAGGTGAAATCTAGGGATGTCTAAACTTGGGTGTTCTGTTCTGGCCCTCTGCTTGTTCCCCTGAAGAGAGGCGGCTCCCTGAAAATGTCATGAAACACCTCCTCACCCTGAGGTTCATTACAGGTCATGAGTGACTCCCCTTTAGTAAAGCCGTTTCACAAGGCCTCTGGTTTTATTGTCACGGAAAAATAAAGACTCCAATTTCTGGCCTGAGAAATGCATCTCCTCACACCCCGCCCCCTTGCCTGGAAGCGAGGTCAGCATCACCTAGGTTCTGGGGTTCTGCTTTCTTCCTTCTATGCCCACGCAGATTTATGTAAACACTGAAGAACACTTACACACGACATGATATGTCCCTCACTGACCTGAATCCAAACCATCACCCAGCTCTGCCCTGCTCTGTTTCATTTGTAGGGTGAAACTGTGATTCTGGTCCAAGGATCTTCTGACTGGAGTCCCTCAGTGGTCCAGGCCAGGCCCAGTGCTGGAGACTAAGGCAGTAAACTCGGTAGGGCGGGTCTGGAGAGCATGGGAGGATCATGTTACAGGCAGTAGGTACCGGAGGCTGATGGCTTATCATACTGCAAAAGGGTAAGGTGAGGGAGAACAGAGTTTAAAATCACCAGGTTTAGATATTTTTCAAAGTCTGCAGATTTCTATTAAGTTCTGTGGGTCAGAAAGAAATTGTTTCCATCTGAGGAAAAGAACTGAGTTTTGTGGATGGATGGAGTCCACTGGGCCCGGGGAAATCAGTTCCTAATTAAGTTGGATTTGCAAATGAGATCTCAGTTAAGGTTAATGATGGGAGCATTTCCCATGTCATTATCATAAAGATGGTTTCATTTCCATGTAATTAAAATGTAGGACCCTGTTAGTTTCTGTCAAAGGAAAAACTAAGCTCAACACCAGCAGTTAGGAACATTCTATTCTGCCCATGGGAGACAAAAATCAAACCAAGTTATCTTCTGATACATGTTCCTTTCTTTTATTTAAATTCAATTTTAAGCTATGCTCTCTCTCTCTCTCTCTCTCTCTCTCTCTCTCTCTCTCTCTCTCTCTCTCTCTCTCTCTCTCTCTCTCTCACACACACACACACACACACACACACACACTGGGCAATCGCTCTGTTACCTAACCTCACAGAATGCTGCAAACAGCTTCGCCAAATGGTGGCATCAGGACACCACAGTCCACAGATTTCTCATTGGTGCATCCCGAGTGGGGGAGTGGGGAAATTAATTTGCATTGAACTGTCTTTAATTGAACTCAGCGGCCAGGCCTCATAGGCTCCCCTGTGCAGGTGAAAGCAAAGCAAATGTGTTTCCTCCCATGTGCTCCCCATGCCTGACACCCACAGAGCTTTTCTCTGGCAGGACTGGCCTCTGCTGCCTCTCCTACCTTAAAGCTGTTGCGTTGGTTCACAGTCTCCCTCTCGTGCCTTGGAAATCTTGAGAACGGCTCTCCTCTTTAACGCTGTCTCCAGAGGAAGAAGGCCATGACTGGCTTCCTTCTTTCATGGTCTGATTGTCACTCTTGATTTCTACTTGGGAGTCAGTGGCAGGGGTCAACAGCTAATCTATCCCTGAACCATTTAAATGTTCGGGTTGCAGGGTGGTGGTAGCTGTTCACGCCTTTAATCCCAGCACTCGAGAGGCAGAGGCAGGTGGATCTCAGTGAGTTCGAGACTAGCCTGGTCTACAGAGAGAGTTCCAGAACAGCCTCCAAAGCCACAGAGAAACCCTGTCTTGAAAAACCAAAACCAAAACCAAAACAAAACAAAAAACCCAAAAAACGTTCTGGTCAAGGATGAAATGAGGGCCATAGGCAACCAAACATTTCTGGCAACGTCTCAGGATGGTGATCTGTGCAGAGAAGCGCTGTCTACAGTGGGCAGTGGGAGGCAGTCTCTCTCCATTTCTGACCTCCACTACCCCGACTGCCCAGATGCTATGGTTGTTTAAGACACTGCAGCATGTGTGTCCCTGTCACTGCTGGCTGGCACCAGTTCTAGCCTGGTTTACATTCACAGGAGAAGCTAGGACACCATTTGTGATCAAACTGCTTCTAACGCATCTCAGGAGAGAGTGCTGTCTCTTTTTCCCCTAACAAAATCCATGCATTTTGAATTCTGGGGGCTGGGGGTGATGTGTGGTCTTTCCTATTTGGGGTCTTTTCTGGGTGTCAGAACTTGTGTTTCACGTCACCAACGCTGTGACTGTGATGAAAAAGAGCCCCCTTTCTTCTCGGAAAGCCAGGCAGCATTCACGTGGCTTTTCTCACTTTGTGGACAGGTATGAATAGACTTCCTGTGTAGGTCAAGACTTCAGGATGTCCCCTGACTTCTTTGTACCGCATTTCCCTCCAAGTTACTGCAAGGCGGACAAGCTATTTGCTGTGGGACATCTGGGGACGCCAGTGTCCATCCTTGAGTCCCTGGTGAAGGGGCTTTTGCCACACATTCCAGTGTCTGGTTCTTAAGTGGGAGAGTTTGACCTTCAGCCAGTGGTGAAGTGAAAGCTATCTTGATACTGCTGCAAAGTTGGGGGGCACCGGGCCCCTCATGTTGCTCCAGGACATGGAGGACAAAGATACCTTGGTTTTCCTGGCAACTTCACACCTTCTTTGGCAGCTTAAGGATTCACTCCAGAACCCTCCGGGCTTCTCACCTCCTGGGATGTGCACGTGAGAGTCAGCCTTGACAGAAGAACAGGCAGAAAGGCCCGGAAATTCCAAGCACTTCCGGGGGTTAACCTGGTGCTCTCCAGGTCGGGGTTTTCTGGGCTTCAGAAGGTCCAGCTCCGCTGCTGCTTGCTTCCAGACCTCTCTCTGCCAGTGGCTCCCTGAAGAGGAGTGACAGAGGTGGGCAGGGGCCCTGTGGGGACTGCAGGCTGTTAGACTCAGGCAGAAGTCACAGTCCTGACCTCTCTGCCTCTCCTCCTTGAGCAGGTCAGCAGCTTGGTGGCATCATGTCCCAGCATCCTTTAGTTCCTGAGGCTTTGTCCCTGCTTCCTTGTAAACATGGTGGGAAGCAGAATGGGTATTGGTCTTAATACTCCCATTTCTCCACTGCTTTCCATTGTCTTTAAGATCCCAATGTGTCCAAAGTGTACTATTTAATATAAATATCAAATAGAAGTCACACTAGAAGTATAAAGCAAACACTGATGATATGGGGCCTTTTTCTTTGGGGACAAGGTCATACTATGTAACCCTAGCTGACCTTGTGGTCGCCCTTCACTTCCCTAGTGCTGGGATTGTAGGATGTGCCTGGTTTTGCAGCGTTGGAACTTTGGATCCATTTGCACAATGTGTGGGCAGCACACAGAGTCAGGGTCTGGGGAGCTTTCTTTGGAAGGATAAATGAAACAATGACAGGTTTTCCAGCAAGTCAAGGCCTTGAGCTCAAAGCAGGCACTGGGTGCTGCACAAACATCCCTGTGCTAGAAGGTTGGGCTTTCAAATAGGTAGTTGACCTCCTGTCCTGGCCAGCACTTGCTCCAAAGACAAACAGTAAGGACCCACATCCATGTGCAGACACTAAAAAGCATCCGGATCTACCCAGAGCCATGCGTGGCACAATCGGGAGGAAGTCAGATTTATCAAACAGCAAGGCGGGCTCTGGTGGGCGGAGAGCCCCTGTGTGGATCTGCAAGCTATGCTTCCTGGGGTGGAGCTAGACCTAAGGAGCCTGGAACCTGCTCTGGCCCTGCCTCCTTGTCACCTGATATGAACCTCTCCTGAAGACAAGTGACCAGTGGGCCGGGAGTCTTCTAACAATATCTGTAGTATGTTCCACTTAACTCACACTCAATTTATCAACTGAGCAAATGGACTCAAGAACAGAAACAAACTGCCCGAAGGGTGGAGCCTCTGGAGCCTTTGGGTCCCACATGCCCTCTCACGGTGACCTTGGCTCTTTCTAGAACAGGCTGGGAATGGAGTCCACAGAGGTGAGATTGCCCACGTCATACCAGGAAGACATCTTTCTCTCTTGATTAGCACCAAGTCCTCCCTTCACGGATAACAGGTCTCTCCACAACCACTTCACAAATGAGCAGGCCTAGCTCTGAGAAGGCCACAGCCAAGGGACATTCCTCTGCAGACTGGTAGACTGAGACCTAACCGTCAGGTCTCTGATTCTTACTTTATGACAAAAGATGCCAGAATCCCCTAGCTGGTGGGTAAGGTGCAGTGTGGGCCTTTTGGGAATGGCTGGATGGTACCGTGAGTCTGGCAAGGAGGCTGAAAAGACTTCCAGATGAAACACAGACAAAACACCTGGTGATGAGGACTGTGGAGATGGCCCTTCCTCTCCACTGCTCCCCCAGGGCTCTTGTCAAGCCACACACAGAGGCAGTGAGAAGCCATCCTCGTGGATGGAGTCTCCTTAGCTCCTGCCTAGTTTTGTTAATTGTGTTTCCCTTCAGCAAAGTATGCTGATGCCTGGTGCCAGCACAGGCCAAGCCCGAGCCCAGCAATCCACAATGCAGGAAGGGAGAAGGTTGCCCAGACGGGACATGCAAGACTGGTCTGTGAATTTCTGGGGATCTGCTCATCACCATGAGTGCCACACACTTCACCCCCTCTGGAATTTTTGCTTTTTGTTATCAAATGCTTTTCTATTTGTCTCTTTCTTTTCCTTCCCAATTGCCCCCCCCCCACCAGGTACCAAAGAATGAGCATGGCCAGCCCCAAGAAAATGGCTGGGTCTCTTGGAACTGAGAAATGCCTAGTGGGGAGTCTGGTGCTTGGGGAGGAGGTCATTAGCAGTGCTGGGACCAACGCTGTGTGACCTTCTTCACAGAAGGGTGGTTTTGTTAGCAGACAGAGACGGAGGCGGGAGATAGGACACATAATACATTGGGATGCACATGAACCTGTCTCTCCACAGACAACACACACAGAGGTGCCTTGTTAGCTTAGTAAGCAGGATGTCCCATGGCTACAAAGCAGGGAAGAAGCATAATTTGCAACCACTCAGAGAGCAGGCTACCAGCTCAGCAGCGTTCACCAGTGTCCTCTGAGCTTTTGGCTTTTGGGGAGAGAGTTTGCAGCCTAGAAAGCCTTAAGTTGCTGTCCAGCCTACGTCTTCCACCTAGTGCCTTTATCTCCTTGGCAAGCTCATTTCAAGTCACTGGATCCTGAAGGACATGAGTCTTTCTGAAACCAATAGTGGGGCCAGCCCTGGCTGGGCTTTCCCTGTGACTGATGCTGTATGATCCATGCCCTGTGACTCATACCACTTTCTTAACATAATAAAGACAACCACAGAGCTGGAGGAAGACATCAACCACGTCGAGAGAGGAGACTCGGGACAGTCATTAGGAAAGTCCTGTGGGCTTGTGAATGTGAGAGGGAAACTCCCAGGCTGTCGGGACAGACACTTGCCTCTGTGCTTACCTGCAATGGGGACAGCCCCAGAACCATGACCACACCTTCCCTGATGGATCTGGGAGGCCTGGGTAACTTCAACATATAGGGCCTGGAAGAGTTCTCTGTTACCTGGTAGAACACATCAGTCTCTTGCCTTTAGATTTGGCTTACATCTGATTTACCTCACAGTAGACATGGAGATATACACAGCACCTAATAAGCCCTGTCTGTTTTACTTTGGTCCTAATGTGTGTTCAAGCCAGTCAGTTCAAACCCTGTTTGAATGAAAATGGGAACTCACAGATAATAGATGGAATGAACCTCATACTGGGAACCTGTAGCATGTTTTAGCATCCTAAACACATGTCCACAAGAAACTGGACTCTGTGACCATGCAAGGATGTCATTTATAGCTGGCCTGAGGTTTGGTCAGCCTTTAAAATATATGCACAGGAAGTTTAAAACCTATACAATTGGGATGAAGAGAATCGGAGAGGTTGGATTCTCACTGTTAAGTAATTTTTAAAGGAGAAAAAGCAAACATCCTCTTGATCCTTGCTGTGGTCCCCTGTGGGAAACCCTGGGACTCTGGTCAGAGTCTCCACTCCACTCAGGGTCTGCCATCTGGAGCAGAGTGTCTCAAGTCTAGGGGAGGACAGGGCAGGCTGTCAGCATCA